CCTCAAATGGGACTAATTTTTTCCCCAGCGAAACTAGCTTGATTCGCAAAGGTAACTATGATGCCGTTACAATATTTGGTTGTTGACAAGCGTTAAAGACCAGAGAATGGAAGCAAACTAGCTCAGTAATGGTATTCTAAACAAAATATTTTATAGTATAAGTAAAGTTTTATTTAATAATTATTATTGCTGATTTANTCCTAATCTAAAATGAAAGTTCCATTATTTTAGTAGTGGTCATGTAGTAGTCTTGACTACTCTTGACAAAGAAAAATAATCTAAATAAAAATTTATATTTTTTAAAAATCGTGTTTTTTGTAGTGAAGAATAATAATTAAAAAGTAATAATTTTTAAAAAAATTAAAATAGAAATTAAAAATATTATAATTTAAAATAAAAAAATTATTATTCCCTTGATAGCCCTTCTCTCGATGGATTGTGAAGCGTGTCCTAGTCGCGTGTCACGCAAGCAGCGCAGTAAACTGAAATCAATTCCGCGTAAGCAATCTTACTACTGAGATTCACGTGTGACTTAATGCAGGAAGACTGCCGAAGTTCAGGTCATGCCTTCGCTGATTTCATTCTTAAATAGTGAAAGGGAATACGGGGATGTTGGACTTGCTCTTGACAGGGGCTTTCTTCTGAAACTGAAAAAGAATATTTACTATCTGGTCACGTGATATCGGGTGTGGCCCCCAGAGTACTGACACGCGACAAAGTGTTGGTAAACTTTTGGTAGCCGCACCCTTACGTCGATAGCCAACAATTAGCGAAATCTTGGAAGATTTTTCATTTTCTATTTTTAAACCTTTTTATTTTTAAATGATCATTTTCTGTGGAGGGACGAAATAATGATGATCTTCTTCAAATATGTAAAACATTGTGAAAAAAGTGATTAAGTAGTTCGAGAAGATTAATGAAACACAGGTACTATTGTACTATACGTACAATTTGTTCCAACTAAAAATTGCATGAAACATATTGAATTAGAAGGCGTCACTCCGGCTCGCTTAGCTCACCGACCCCCTTGATAACTGATCAGTCTTCCTTTTTTTTTCTTAACGATAAACAGACAATTATATTGAAACCAGAAATTATTCATTTAAGAGATACCGAAAAATTTTTATAGTAATTACAAAGATTTGGTTGCACAGATTTAGTACCCGAATCAGTTAGGATAAAATTTGAACCTCATCATTTTTCTTGCTTAACATTGTAATTTCAACATCCTATTCGCTTTTTCATCTCATCTTGTTTTTTCTAAAAAATATCCCCCTTTAATTTTCTGTTGCTATAACAACATGTTAAATTCATTTTTCCACAAAAAAATTTATTACTAAAAGTTAATACCTAACAATGCTTTACAATTTTGTACTTTTTACTAGGTAGTTCTATCACCACTCTCCTTACAATGCTTTACAATTTTATACTTATTACTAGGAAGTTAAATCACCAATCTCCTAACAATGCTTTACAATTTTGTACTTATTACTAAAAAGTTCCATCACCAATCTCCTAACAATGCTTTACAATTTTATACTTATTACTAGGAAGTTCCATCACCAATCTCCTAACAATGCTTTACAATTTTGTACATATTACTAAGAAGTTCCATTACCAATCTCCTAACAATGCTTTACAATTTTGTACTTATTACTAAGAAGTTCCATCACCACTCTCCTAACAATGCTTTACAATTTTGTACTTATTACTAGAAAGTTCCATCACCAGTCTCCATGATTGTTTCGAGTTCATCATTTCTTCACCTACAATGCGATATATTTCACGAAAAATAAATTTTAGCCTTTTGAGCTTGCTTATAAAGCAAAGAAATTTCTGTTAATAAAATATATTTATCAAGTAAGGAATATTTCGTTCGTAAAAATTTTAGAATATACATTTAATTCCAACTTTTATTTAAAGTATTTCAAATTTCCCAAATATTTTATATAGTTTTAATCCCATACATAAACACATGAATAATAAAAAACTTAACATCGGCGACTTGTTGGTGACAACATTTGGGAAGTTGAGTAAGCTCTTCCAGTTTTAAAGAGTGGCCCATTTTTTTCCCAACAGCAACAGGACTCTAATCTTCGATGTAACTACCAATGAGAATAGTTTTTGTGTTCAAAGTGGTTTGATTTACTAAATAAAATAAAATAACTATTAGAAGTACAAATTTAATTTTTTTTAAAGAAAAAAAAGTATAGATGCGTATTTAAATACAATATTTGCTATTTTCTAATACGTAATCCTGTTACTTTACTTTTTTATGTGTAATTTCTTCATTTCGTTTTAAAAAAAAGTCAATCTTTGCAACACTCTCAACACGTTTCAGTTGATCAAAGTAATGACAGAAGTTGATTGTTCAGTTTGCTGGTTCTTAAAAGTAAAATTTTTTGAGAGTCAATAATATTCATTTTCTGATCTGTAAAAGCACAATAACTGTATATATAAAAAAAAATCATTGATTACAAGAACTTTCATTCCGAAGACCATTATTTTTGGAAACAAATCCCTCTATTTTCGTGAGGTAATGTAATTAGCAGTATTCAAACAATCTTTTTTTTCTCTGCTAAATAAGTTGGAAAATAGCAATTTGGGAAATGCTAGCAAATTTATAGCAACCAAATTCCTTATATTCTTTTTTTTTCACTTCCAAGCTTAAAAACGAAGTGGCAGCTTATATAAAATAAAAATCTCAAGTGATAAATAAATTTTCCTATTTCTCTTCGCAAAAAGGATATATGGTCATTATTTCAAGCAAAAAGGGAGAAAAAGTCGCAAATAACACTGAAAATCATAATAACTTTCGAACAAATTAAAATTCCGAACAAAAGCAAGAGTTACGTTTACAAATAAAAATGGTCCTCTTAAACAGTTGAATTTCAACTCTGTAGTTCATATCTGAGGTCTTCAGAGAGGTCCGTGTAGTATTTTTTACTACAAGTTTAACAGTTAATTATTCTCGAAGTAATAATTCAATGTTAACAATAGTTATTATGCTGTACTTTCTATACATTGTACCTTTATAACTTTAATTAATTTTATGCTGGAAACTTAAATCCAAAAAAAAAAATTACTTTGACTAATTTATTAGGGATCAAATGATATTAGACGATATCTAGAAGACAGATAAAAAATAAACCCTAAAGAGATCATTTTTATTTCCCTCAAAGTGAAAATAATAAACCTGATAGGCGCTCTACAATATTTCATGTATACTATGTTACATAAAATAGTAATTTGTTTTAGTTTTAGTAAAATAATCTGTCTGGATTAACACTTTCAAGGAATTCCACGTAAAATCTTTATGATGCTTAAAATTTATGCAAAATTAACGTAATTTTTACACCTTTCAGGGAAAAATTATCAATGCTTCAAAAGAAAAGGAAACATGGCAATTCTAATTTGCACTTATAAATAACTTCATGCCAACAAAATTACAAAACAAATAAGCAAAGTTATAAAGCTTTACTGATTTTCTAATTTGATAAGATGGTCAAAATCCGTGAACAAATTTTTAACTAAACATTTTCACAAACTCCCCAATCAAATTCCTTGGCTATGAAATGAAAGATTCAAGTCAAAATCTTTATGAATTCTCAAATTGACGATTAAAGCAAACTAAAGTTCTCCCATTACCTTGCCTTATCGCTGAAGGTCACCCCAGAATCGCAATCTGTCGTGCACGGGGGCTACTGTGATCTGTGTTGGAAAAGATGGAAAATCTTCCTGTCCTATCCAAAACGACACAGGAAGAAGTAGAGGGACTCTGGAGTCTGGGGCGTCACCTCCATCGAGTGATTTTCTGGCGGAGGCCCTAGACTGCACGCAAATCTCTAATCACTGCCAGGGCATTTATGTAACCACGTGACATACATCATCTATCCTCCTCTCCCCCGTAAGCAGTGAAGGTTGACGGGAAATCTGTTATTGGGCCATCCAAAGAAATGCCCATATGAATATTTAGAAGAATAGATTGGGTTATTCAGCCTTCCATTCCAGATTTTTATTTTATTTTTGTTTTTGTGGGTGGGAAAGGGGAAAAAATGAACTGAAAGTAATTCCATCGCTTAAGAAATCGCATAGGATAAAATCGATCACCTGCGGAAGCATTATCTGACAGAAGATGTACGTCTTTCTTTTCTTTTCGTTCCATCGCGTGACAAGGGGTTTGGCAAAATCAGAAAATCACAATTCGATTTAATTGCGTGGAACCACGTAGCCAGTGAGTTCAGTAAAGCCTGATTGGTTAGGCATTAAAATAGTAATTGTCAATTACCTGAATTTTAATTCAATTCAGGTATTAGAATTTTATGCAGGTGAACTAAAAGTTATGAGACTTTTTGTGGCATTTCGATGTACAAGAACATCTGAGTTTTTGAGGTAGAGAGCTTAAATACAGATTATTCCGCCTAAACTACCTCTGCATGTGCTTTGGGTGCCGCTTTCTTTAAAAAAAATATTTTATCTCTCTGTTTTCTTCTAAATCAACTTACATAGTTTTAAATAATTGATAATTACTTTAATTAGAAGTAAGTATTTAAATAAAGGCGATAGATTCCACAAAAATACATTAACATTAAGAAAATTATATGCCTGTGCTAGCTACTTTACTTTTAACCAAAATACGGACACGTAATTTTACTTTCTTCAAGATTTTAAGTAAGTGAATGATTGAAGTTTAATTCTTGTTCCTAACGATACAAAGCAATTAATTTTTTTGAAAATTTTAATAAAAGGAATAACAAACAATGCAAATTAAAATTCTCAAATTATCTTCCAATGTCATACCTTCCACGCATCACTAATGGTACGTGTATGACTACTTAGGATTAGAGAGAAAAAGCTCTGTTTCCCTAAAGTTTTATTTAAAACTCCTTCATTTCTTTATTTGGATATTGATGGATTCACTTACTAAAAAGTAATTTTTTTTTTTAAAATTCTTATTGCATTTGGAAAAAAAATAGAGTCTTGGCGCATATGTTAATTTCTAAAATAATTTTTATAAAATTATATTACATATCTACATCATGACATCGTAAAATACAACTTTCAGAAATGAATAACACTAGAAAATTAATTTTTTTTTTAAGTGTAGACTATCTACAAAATATGTTCTTAATAAATAAATCATAAATTACTTTATTTAACTAATACTTGACTGGATAATTTTTATTCAGTAGTTTAAAATTATTAAGATACGATGATATTTCTCCTATTGTTTAAAGTCAGAATCATTCCAACTTACTGGAGGGTGCACACCTCCGATTGTTGGCTTTCTTCACAAGCAGATTGCCGTTTTGCGTAAGCAGCAGTAGCAGTAACTCTTGCCACTGTCTTGAAGCTAACTGAATTTTTAATCATTCCAATGCTAGCTTCCCCTCTGCTAGGAAGGCGTTTCAGCTTAACTTTCGATTCCAAATTCTCAGGATCTGCTATCGCCAAGACAACAAAACTTCCATCGATTCCGCCAACTACAACAGAGAGTCCGTCATGGGTTGTTCGAAAATCAGTTACCTCTGCCGCCAGTTTGTAGTTTCCAATCATTTTTCCGTTCGACATCCTGAACAATCTAATCGTCTGTCTTCCGCTGTGGTAGTAGAGAACATAATCATCAGTATTGTTGAATTTAGCTGTTACGGCAAACACCCCTTCACTGATTGGTGGAATAAGAACTTTCACAGTTTTCCCACTTCTTAGTTCTATCACCTCCAAACCACCTTGATTGGGTGCAACTAAACCGTATCTACCGTCGCTCGTGCAAGCTCCATTCCAACGCTTTATGCCACGAACGATTCGTTTGGTTTCCACATCAACTATCCAAGAGGAATCTGAACTAGTTATGATCACAGCTGAGGCTTTTCCGGGAAATGGTAAAATTCCACAACCCAACAATGACACATTTGTCAGAGGAATCTTGAACATGAATGCCCCTTTTCTGGCATGATAGGCAGATATAACTTTCTGTTTGCCTTCGAGAGAAATGACGGCCAAGTAGGCTCCGTTTTTTGTAATAACAGCGGGTTCTGGGACATCACTTTCGAAATTGAAAGAGTAAACTTCTTCGCCAGTTGGGATATTCCTCACCGTGCATCGAGTCTCTTTTTCTACTTCAGATGTTATTACTACTATAATTTTGTCATCTAAGCCAAGAAGAAGTTGTCGGATGTTTGGATGACTCTCTCGAAAAACGACACAACCCTAAAAAAGGTAATTGTGAATTGAGCAACAGTTACTTTTCTAAAATGAAAGCAAATTAAAGAATTACATGCAGAAGATAGAGAACTTCTGTTTCATATATGAATATTACTTCTAAAAAGAACCACTTATTTTTTTTTAAATAATATTTTGTCAAAATTTCATGAAGAGTACTGACTTCACAAAAAGCAGAATAAATTTATAATATGTAAATAAACTTTTATTATCTACGATCAAAAAAATATTAATTTTTTAACTGCAACAAACGTGTTCATGTATTTAGTTTAGTTTTAGTGGTAAACTTTGATGCACGCATACATTTTGCAAATAAATTCTAGATTTAAAAATATTGGACTATAAAAGAAAATATTTAAAAAAAGTTTTTAAAAAAACCCGATTAAAATTATGAAAAATTTAATTTTGATGAAATTCTTTAAAATTCCGGTATAATGCCGTGTTCAAAAGTTTCATGAGTTAAAATATTCGCAAATTAATACCTTTTCAAATATAGTGTCGATTTTGATTGAAACTTATCAAGTGTACTCATACAGTCTATAGTTTTAATAAACAGAGACTTGCATAATGATCCTTGTCAAAAATTAAGATAAAAAAGGTATTCATTAGGGTGGTCGCAAATCAATATTTCAGCAAGAAAAAATCAACGCTAACGAAAACAGTCAAATCACTGCTGAGGAAGGCTGACGTTCTAAACATTGAATTGTGAGATGACACTTGAAGATATTTCTACTAATCCGTTTTTACCTCCTGTTTTTCCCAGCAATCAAACATTTTGATGTTCTGTAAACCTGCTTTCCTAAACATTGATTGGTCAGATTTCAATAGCATTTTGTTTATTCTTCGCTTAAATATTGATTTGCGGATTCCCCACCATAAAGTGATTCCTTTTTATGCATATAGGTGGCATATCCGGGAAACAAGTAGACCCTGGAAGAAACGAAATTTGTTGTGCACTGAAGAAGACTTATGCAATCTTAGAAACATGTACGTGACCATTATTCTGCTGAACAGAATGAGTGGGAAAATGGGGAAGACCTCTGGCTATTGAGGTATCCCGCAATTTGCTTTAGATGGGATTGAAAAGTTATATTCTTCCCTGACCAAGCTCCAATAGCTCCCCTCACCAAGATATCTGGCATTTGTGCGGTATGACGCGAGATAATGCACTGTGAGAGCAGACATTTCCCTCTGAAACGTCTGATGCGTACTCTTCTATCATTGTACTAGAGCAGGGATGGGCAAACTACGGCCAGCGGGTCAACTGTGGCCCCCCTGAAGGTTTTATCAGGCCCACGGATAGAATTACAACTCGCCGATCCGTGACGAATATAAACAATATACATCCATTTTCTTGTCTACGTTGTTTAAAGCTATTTTTGTTCTCACTTTTTAACGAAGTATTGATGATCTTTTTACTTTCTCTATTTTTGCTCTAACAAAGCATAAATTGATGGAAATAGGCAGCTTCAATTGGTAAAATGTTGAAAGCAAACGTTCTTTATAGAATACCCGTAGATTGGCGCCATCTGAAACAGTTGTTTCTAAATATGCCAAAGTTAGAGTTTAACGAATCATTACCAAAAGTTAGTTTCCCAAATTTAGTATTTCATGCCCAGAAAATAAGTGCTATGTTTGCTTCATCTTATATATGTGAACAAGTGTTTTCAACTATAAACCTTTGAAACAATCATTTCAGAAGTAGACTAACAGGCAAACATTTAACCTTGAGCATTAAAATAAGTTCCTCTCACTTGGAACCTTAATATAAAGAACTTTTAAAAATGAAATCGCAATTTCATTCATCTCATTAAATATTTAAATTAAAACTTGCATATCGTTTTTCTACTCTAGAAGTTTTTATTTGGCCCACCAGACTTTTTTTCTTCGTTTTTTTGCCCTCGATCAGAAAAGTTTGCCCACCCCTGTACTAGAGATTCATCTAAGGAAGAAACTTGTTATCACAGGGAATGCCATGCATTGTGTTGTCGAGCACAGTCGAAGGCATCTGTGATTCAATGACAGAGGAATTCTGCGTAGAGGAATCCTTCCACGCAGTTAATGCTGCAGCAGACATCGATGAACCATCGAGATATACAACAAAACACTTGTAGTCCAACGTTGTGCTAACACACGAGAGAGAGAACTGCACAGTCCATCATAGCCATGCTGGCAAGGTGTCCATCACTCCGTGCTATTGCGTTTTCTCCATCACAGGTTTCCTCCCTGTTTGTTTTTCCTGTGTCCATTTCTTTAAGACTTGCATAGTTGTTGTGGTATTACACTGCTTGCGGATTGCGATTTCTAGATATGAAAAATCCACCCTTTCCCATATCAACAATGCAGTCTCATACTAACTCCGTTAAATGGTTGATATGGCGCTGTTCACTTTTGATGAGGCATATCCACCACTACTGAAACATTTACACCCGTATTCACCACGCAGAGTTAAATTCAAGAGTAACTCGGGGATCGGAATATCCAACGTTCAGAGTTACTCTCGGATTAACCCTCGCTTTTTATTCTCCAACCGTTTTCAACAGAGGATTTCACAACTCGAGTTTAACTCTTGCAGGAAATATAACGAGGCCTTTGATTGGGCAAGGTAAAACCATGTGACTTTGTATATAATATAAACACGTGCATCGTGCATANGCATCGTTGTTGTGGTATTACACTGCTTGCCGGTGGCGATTTCTAGATATGAAAAATCCACCCTTTCCCATATCAACGATGCAGTCTCGTACTAACTCCGTTAAATGGTTGATATGGCGCTGTTCACTTTTGATGAGACATATCCACCACTACTGAAACATTTACCGCATATAGATGAAGATGAACTGATTTCCACTCACCTTTACAATCCATTACATGGAAAAAACGGCTGATGGAGTCGGTTCTCATTCCTCGCATGCGCAGTCGCTTTGTGATTATAGTCATTTGCATGTCTTGCATTACAATACATTTCCCGTAAATTTGGTTCAATTTGCATAATTCATTCATGGTGTTGAGGGACCACTGGAAATCAAACCCCAGTACTTCACAATGACAGTTCAGTACCTTAACCATTGAGTCATCGTGTCCCAATTATACGTATTATATTCAAATAATAAAAGCCGTGCTAATCCAAAAAAAACTGTGGTTATGTAGGGATCATTTTCAGTGAAAAATAACATAGTACATCACCTTTTTCAGATTCCAAACTAAAAGATTTCCAGACTCTGAACTGATGACATGACGGCTATCTGCAGTGATGACAGCGTGGGTCACAATAGCCCCCACGGGAGAATCAACCAGTTTGCTCCAAAGTTTTCCTGTCGATACACTCCAAACTCCGACGCTGCTTCTGGTCACAGTTACAGCTAGTTCATCATCTCCGGAGAGAGAAACAGATTCAATAGCCATTTCCATCCTGTCGATCGTGTACACTTTTTCGAATATGTTTTTCACATTCCACACCTGATAATTTTAAAGATCGGGATCAGTAATTTGTTACATCAAGGAAAATGAATTTCAAATTTTTACGCTATTACTGTAAATAAGATTTAATGCTATAATAAATGTTTTTTAAAGATATACTATAAAGTAGCTATTTTATTTAAATTACTATATTGTAAATAGCTTTTTCATATTTATATTACTAAGAAACAAACCTAATTAATGACATAATATAACTGTTACTGTAATACTGTGACTGTAATAACTGAAAGTGCAATATTATCTAATAGTCATCATACAAAATTTAAACAGATACTTTTTCTCACCCTTTATTTTCGATTTGCAGTAGTTTAGCTTTTTCCCCTAGAACAATTGAAGTAGATAATTTAATATTCGTCTAATCGACTGTCGATATTTGCCAGTTACGGAAATTCTAGTTGTTATCTAAAGTCTGCAATCCAAATTTTAATCTAAGTTTTAGTTTAAAATCTGATTTAAAATCTAAATTTTAATAAAACTTGCATATTTAATAACTATATGTATTGTCAATAAGTTCTTCTCAACCTTTTTAAACCACTGTAAACACTACCAATAAGAAACGACACTTGTATCAAACAATAGATAATATACATCTCTTGAAATTGATTAATAAAGATAATTTAATATAAGCTTGCTCGTACCTTTATAGTCTTATCAATGGAGGAGGACACAATGCCATTGAAATCTTCAATATACAATGATTGTACTCGCATTATCCTGGCAATATGAGCATCGACTTCCTTCAAGAGAAGTCCATCTTTTACATTCCAAATATACAGAGATTTTCTCACTCCTCCAACACCATACTGATTATGTTTCGTGATCGCTAAAGAGCTCTGAGAGTGGAAAGGCTTCGTTGAAATGTTTTTAACATTATTGGGCAAGGTGAAACACGTCTCTTCACCATTCTCAAATTTCCAAAGACTAAACCCGGTCGGCATAGTTCCTATCAAAAATGTTCCATCAGGTGATAGTTCTAACGCCATTATGCGCATAGGTGACTGGGCTATCTCTTCTTTCTTCTCCCAACCATCCGTGGTCAATTTGAAGTGCCATATATGATATTCGTTATTAGAGAATTCTGTGGCATAAATATCGCCCTCTTGTATAACGAAGAGTGCGCTGTCAATATTTAAATCAGTCATACTTACTCCGTTGACAGTCGTCCTCAGAATGTGCTTATCTCTCAGATTTTCTTGTCCTTTCTTAAAACTAGACAATGCGATTGAAAAGTTTTTATCATCAACGTAATTAATATGAGAAATGAAGAAATCATTTTCATCAATTATATGAGAGGAATATTTTAATCCATTGGAGAGACTGAATGTTATCCACTCCTTAAGACTCCATGCTATGCCTATTTGTTTGAAAATAGCAACTCCGGCAATAGGTTTCGTTTCAAGCATGTTTTTTAATATTTCAACATCCCCTGACAAAGCATTCAACAGAACTAATTCATTGTGGTTGGTAAATGCCACAGCATATTTGTCATCGGGACTCAGAGCTAACGATTGCATAATTCCCGGTATTTCTGGATTGACGTCGCAAGTAATTTCTCCAGTCATGAGATCAAACATTAAAAATTTATTCGATATGGTGAGAACAAAACGCTGATCTGAGGTCAGGCAAAACCCGAACACTGCAAAAGGGTGACCTTCTAACGAATATTTCAAAGGTCCTCCCGGAGTGTGGAGTATATGGAAAGCTGGTACCAAAGCGCAATGCTGAATTCCTAATTGATCACATTGTTCAATAAGACCTTTTACCCTTGGATAAATGTTCTTCACTGGAAGTAGTCTTCCTACAATTTGTGACGCAAGCATATCTGGATGTTGGCTTAATACTACTCCGCCAAGTCTCATTCCATCAGCAACTATATTCAATTGCTTGATAAGCTCGTTATCAACAAGATTCTCGACAGCGTCTTCAAAGTCTGCCAAAATCGCCTGAAGTGGACAACAGCTGACTTTTGAGTGTAGCCATAAATAGCTGAATAAAACGTTTTCAAATAGATCTTCAAAACGATCCGATCTCACCAAATGAAATGGCAGCTCTCCGAACTTTCTCTTGTTGTACCCCGAAACACGACCATCTTTAGTATGGAATACAAGTGGCTGCAGAGGCACTTTGCGATCTGCTGTGCCTTCAGGATTTTTCAAACCAAATCTGTAACGTTGAATTTCGGTGTACCTGAAGGGCTTTGGTGTTCCACCTCCCCAAGTGCCTAAGAAATATTCAGCAATCGAGGAATGAAAGTATTTTATTTGATCTGGTTTCACAAAGTATCGTTCTATAGCTGCATCTCTGAACTGTCTATGATACCAATTTAGAACGCTAACGCCATCAGCTTCTCGTTCTGACAGATAATTTGGTAAATCTCTTCGAATTCTCGTCCAAAGAAGGGGTGGAATTCGTCTTACTGGTGGCATGTGGTATTGATACACATCATCCAAGACAATGTCATCCAGAGAAATTAAATCTTCTAATTCAGTTTCACTTAAACCACTCTTGGAAGCAGTTATGTAGGAAAGGGCATGAGCCACTAGCAATCTTCCGTGTTGCTTTTCAATTCGATCGAATAATTTCATGATACTGTCCATAACAGTGAAAGCTAGGATGGTTTCGCTTGCTTTTGAATACGATCTCCATCGCATGACATCTGCAAATATTAGTTTTATAAAAATTGGAAGGGTGCATTTTGATATGGCTTTCCTCACAACATTCCATTGGTATTTACTTAAATCTCTTCCATTTGTTTCTAGCCAACATTTAATAGTATATTCTGCCAGTTCTTCTCCAAGAGGATGGACTTCAACGAATTGGTTTTCATTGCTCAACATCTTGCACAGCAAGTTGTATTCTTTAGCTTCTCCTTCGGATGCAGTAGAAATAACTATTTTAACATTTTCTGGTATTCTTGTTGGTAACCATGTCAGCTTATTGGCAGCTTGTTGGCCGGTTAATTGATCTACCGAATCTAAAAAAATATAAAGAGCTTGCTCCTTCGTTATTTTAGTCAAAAGACGTTTTGTAAATGCTATTAACGGAATTAAATCATCTGGTATGCCCTCCCAAGGCATCATATAATTGTACATTATCTGTTGGCAGACACTTGTTAGCATTGGAATTACACTAGAACTGTCTGGAGTGGTACCGAGAAATCTAAGAACTAATATTGGCTTCGTTCCCTCCGGACACCATGATGTAATCATGCTTGCTGCCTTGGCCAGAAGAGATGTTTTCCCGCATCCTCCTTTGCCATGCAGGACAAAAGGTTGCACTGAATTTGCCTGGATGTAGTTTTGAATTCGATTTAGCTCATCTTCTCTGCCTTGGAAAGTTGAGACAGAACTCTTACCTGCTTGAAGATGCTGTAAGATTTCGGTTACAATGTGTCCTTGACTGCTCAAGTCTTCTTTTCTCATTGCTCGATCCACCAAACGAGTTATGTGCTTGTAAAAGTGAGCTGTAAATTCTCGAAGATAATCTTCATGGTACTTGACAGCTAAGCCTTCTTTTCCACACCAGTTTATTGTGTATCTGAAACATGTGTACATATATGTCGATCACGGAAAGACTATGCAAACATCAAATAGTAATCTATTTTTAATAATCATTTTTTATTTAATTTGGATCAAAAAGAAACCCTCAAACGAACGCTATGATTTTGTGAATAATAAAAAAAAATTGAATAAAATTATTCACTCTTACTGTTCTGAGTTGTTTTCAATTTAAACGGAATCATAGTCTGGTTTTAATAATAAAACTGTCTCAAATAAAAAGTGCCATTCGTAATGAGTAAACCTGATTTACTTAAGTTGAAAAAAATTTTAAATTACTGCTAAATTTTAATAAAAATTCAAATTTATTAAAAATCGTACAAAGTTTGCAGATAAGAAACAAAAAACGCGTACTAATGCAAACTTATGCCCTTATACTTGTTTCCCATGTGGGCGGCCCCACCAAAAGAGCCGTATTAATAAAAAACCTTTAAGAAATTAAATGCTTCAAATTTTAAGAAGATGTTAAAAATCTAAGATTGATTTCGCTGATACGTGATTTGCATAATTTATTATGATTTTGAAACATTCTTTAAAACAATACTATTATTTTTTCAAATTAGGAAATGCCGAAAACGAGAGCCTCTGACGTAGAATTCTCACTAAACATATTTTTCATACTTTTTTTATTATGTCGTATTGAGTGAAAAATATTATATTTAGCATTTTAATAATTTATGGTTATGAAATACAGCATGAAGCACCGCTGCCTTTTTCTGCGTTAAAGGTAAAATCTTCCAAACACAGCTCACTTATCCAAACAATAATTTTCAAACTTTGGACTTAATTGCAGTTATTTAAATCTAAAAGAAACAGTTATTCGTCATTGAAATTTCCTTAATTTACACAATTACTTATTGATATACTTTTGAATATGAATGGAGAAAAAAAATTCAAGCCATTTTTTCTTCTTTTTTTTTGTTATTGGATTTAATATTTTAGAACAAATATAATTCCGATAATCAAGCACAATTTTTTAGTTGATATTATTTATTCATCTGTTTTTATAAAAAAAAAGTACCAAAAATAATTTTTAATATCAGTAATATATTTTTAATATATTTTTTATATCAAAATATATATTAGGGCGTCAGAAAAAAATAGAAAAAAGATACCAGTGTCCCATTTGTGTCAGAGAGTTAATGACCATGAAAGTTGTACGAAATATTATAATACAAAATGTACTTGACGTATGTGGTGATTTTTTTCTTCTTCATTTTATACTACTTGTTAGTATGTATTCAGAAAAATATATAATAGCATACTTCTTTACACTCTAAGCAAAGTAAAAAAATAAATACTGAACACCCTAAAGAACTTTTGATTAATGATAGGATTTTCAAGAAGGAAAACTTAAGTGTTATTTGTACATTTTGCGAATTATCACAGGAATTTTTTAAGAGAATCATGCACCAGTTATAAAATTCATTTATCAATAATTATAAAATTCATTAATCAAAAATAATTTTTAATAATTATTTGTTATTTTTTATGATTTTATTTATTAATAGTTAAAAAGTTTCGACTTTTATGTCGTACACATTTTACAATTATTTTAAAGAATGTAATTTTAAATGACAAAATGCAAAATTCGAATGAAATCAATCGAATAATTCTTAAAAATCAAACTTTAAATGCATTTTTTTGAAAATTAATTACTCAGAAACTACTCGATCGATTTCGTACCAATTTTGTATTTAGTCATTTAAAATTACATACTTTAAAATTATGTAAGAAATAGTTGATTTCGTCAACAGTTTGAAAGTAAAAAATACAAACCCATCAAAATTAAAGCATGTTTATTCAGAGAAAATACGCTTTTATATCTGATTTCATAACATTAAATATCATCATCGCAAATTAATTATTATTAGATTAATTATTAATTATTATTTAACTAATTAGATTATTTGAAGCTGGACCTTCTGAAAGTGAATTTGTCAACGATTTAAAAATTGGTGGATTTGCACAGATCTACAAACATTGCTACTTTATTATTATCATCATTCAAATCAAAAAGAAACAAAATCACTTATTTATTTTTACATTAATCAGGATTTACTTTTTATATTGTCTACATGATACCTTAATATTCTTACTTCACAGCATTAGAAGCTTCAATTTTAGCTGGTAGTCTAACATCTCTCAGGTCAGTCAATAGCTTTTGAGCCTCAATATCTACAGTTCTTCCCAAAGTATCAATAAATTTGCTGACTTCTTTAAGATTAGTCATATCAACAGCATTTATCTGCCGAATGTAAGCCAAACAATGGTTTCTGGTGTTCGGAACATTTAAGATGCCATTTATCACTTCCCTTTCCGTCACTAGATGGCAGCATCAAAGAAATATCAATTAATAAACTTAAAACTTTTCTTTAAAAAAAAAATATATATATATATATATAACGTATCGAAAGAAGTATTTTAGTGAGTTTTCAAGTTCGCATATAAATAAATAATGGATTGCATACAAATTAAATATATGTAGTAAAAAGATTCTGTAAGGCAGAAAGTGATATTTTTTACTTCTCTGAATCATGATTTTATTTATGCTATGCAAATTTTATTAATTCTTATTCTTCTTATTCTATTATATTCCTCTGCTTTCTTGCAAAATGTTTGCTTTCATTTCAGATTATTTGAAAACCTAACGACTTGTGCTCCCCTTTCTATAGCTGAAGAAAAGGAAATTTGAATAATTAAATTGTATAAATTTTCAGCTTATTTTAACTCATTCGGATTTACCAATCTATGAATCTGCTGCCTAAATTTTTAATTTCACAACAAATGCATAACATTTAAAACTTTATTTTAATAGTAATACTGTCAAAAGATATATTTGTAGTTTTTTTTTAAATTCAGCTTTACAATAATATCCTAATTTAAATTTTTTTATTTAAATGTGAATTTCGATTTAAATTTATATCATTCAAGTCATTTGGTACTGGTGCAATTTTTCATAGATGCATATCCTTTTCATTATTCATTCAATATATTATTATTAGAAAACACAATTTTTAATTTTACTTTTCTTTCTTCACAAGCATTTTAATGAAATAATTTCATAAAAATAACGAGAATGTTTAATAAATAACGACTCATTAATTAAATATAAATTTAATGACAGGTTTCAAAAACCATAAGTGATTAAACATGTCCGAACTCTCGGAACCTCAATAACTCTTCCGCGGAACCCTAGGGTTCCGCGGAGTTCCATTTGGAAACCGCTCATCTAGACACATGGGGTATTTTTTAATAAATTGAGAACAAACCCAGGACAGAAATTTCGGAAGTTGAAAAGGACTTTTATGTGTAAAAAGTTTACTTATACTAATATACGGGTCTACATATACACATAAAATATCCCACGTGACTTTTTGCAATGAATTGAATGAGGCATAACTCAAGTTGATAGGAAAAATCGTGTCGAAGTTGAAAGAGTCGAAGTTTAATATTCCGACAAAGAGTACTTCGCATTAAGAGTTTTATTCATACAAAGTACAATTCAAAAATAGTATTTAAAAAAAAATTTGAAAAATTGCTACAATGTCGGAACTATTAATCCTAATACCGTTAGAAGTTAAATGAAAAGTTTATTGGGAAAAATACATTATTTACCTAACTATAACCAGATAAATAAATTAGTACAAATCTTGTTGTTGTTCATTTACGTCGCACTAGAGCTGCACAATGGGCTATTGGCGACTGTCTGAGAAACATCCCTGAGGATGATCGGAAGACATGCCATCACAATTTTGATCCTCTGCAGAGGGGATGGCACCCCCGCTTCGGTAGCCCGACGACCTGCACGCGAAGTCGAGCACTTTACGGTAGAACAGTTTAACGAGGACCAAAACCGCACACCCTCGGTCCCCACGCAGACTGATCCAAGTGGTCACCCACCCGCACACTGACCGCAACCACAGATGCATGACTTCGGTGATCTACTGGGAATCGTGTCTTAACGATCAGTCCACTGTGGGACTAGTACAAATCTATTTTAGATTTGTACTAGTCCCGCAGTGGACTGATTATTATACTACTAATTATTATACTACATAAAAATCTTTGGAACTTTTGAATTATTAACCCTAGAAGCTCGTACTTTTTTTTTCCATTTAATTCAGCGTAAAAATTAAATAGGAAAAATTACTTTACTTATCTAATTAGCAATACGTAGATACATAGCAAGTCAAACATTGTACTTTTTTTTTTGCATAAAATCATCATTGACTTCGAAATTATTATTTATCACCTCGTGCTTGGTATCATAAATGAATAGTTATAGACACATATATAAATATAGTTTAAACTCTATTTTAATCAAATAAAGCATCATTAATTGCCAATCTTTCAAATGTTTGTGGAAGATCTCGGAGGTTGTTGAATTAAAGATTACTAATAGTTTTAGTTTACACTCATTGGTTATTAACACACATGAAATAAGAAATCGGAACCCTCTTAAGTTTAAAAAAAAAAAAGACACACTAACAAAACAAAAAAAATGCATATCCTTTACTTAGCTTATTTTGCTCAACAACGAAAATAAACAAATCTCGTATAAGCTTATTTTTTTCAAATGGATTAAAATGGGGAAAAAATACGTCGCTTTTTTGCAACACCTAAAATTAAAAACGTAAACAAGAGACGGTGAGTGATATGAGTTGATTACGAAAGTGTTGTCCTACGCTTTGCGTTTTAGGCCTGACAAAACATTGTATCTTCTCCATTATCAATAACAAAAACATAGTTTTGAAAGTTTTTTATTTTTTGTTTGATTATCTTCTCCTTTTCAGTTTTGTCTACGTCTGACGTTGAAAAGTAGTCGAAATTTCCACCATCGATAAGAGGGAGGCAAATCTGTTTGCAGCATTATGTTGTCAGCAGGCAAGAAGCTCCAGTTGAAATTTGAGAGCTCTAACTAGCAGAAATGTGGTCTAATTGATTGATGACAAATTCTTTTTAAAATGAAAACATAGCATAATAAATTCTGCTGAAACTATCGAAAACAGAATAAATTTGTATTGTTTTTTCAGCATGAAGCTCCAGTTAACTTGTGAACTGATCAAAGTGATCTCGGGATTTTAATGGACGACGTAAAACGATTCAAATTTTTATTTTACTCTAACATTTTGGCATAATTTTATCACTTGGCATAATTTTGGTTTATCCTGGCATTATTTTGTTAATCCTTGCATTATTTTACTCTAACATTTTGGCATAATTTGACAACATTTGGCATAATTTTATCACTGAAAAAGTAATATTTTTAATTTCTTTTTCTATTTGTATGCGCTTCTACAAAGCAATTGTCAACTTGGATTTATCCCTGTTAGTTAGAGGGACTGTTATATGGTGTTATATTAAGGACTGTTTTATGGTTGACTGTTATATTAGGGATTGTCATATTAAGGACTGTTTTATGGTGTATGATATCTAATTATTTGTGTCTAGCTGGTTTTATTTTGTGATGAAAATCATAAGAACTGCACAACAAAAATATCCCACAATAAAAAAAATGTCAAAAACTAATATTTATTATTTTTTATGTAGTAATTTTGAAAAAAACTAATTAAGTTTGGTTGATTTTTTAAAAATATTTTACTGTATTGAAGAGTTTACCTCCTCGTAAGATAGATATTTCTAAGTAAAATCATATTTCTGAATTATTTAACCCTTTGACGCAGACGGCATAACGGTGTCCCTTTTATACATTTTTTCTGGCTCCCAAATTACAAGCAAAAATATATTTTGCTATTTTTTTTTATTAACAGCTTAATAGTTACTAAGAAAATGTGTTAGGTTATTAAAATGATATTTATACTAAAATGTAAAATTGAAAAAAAAAGATTTTTTTTTTTTTCAAATTCAATAATTGTAAATTAACAAAACTTCAATGACGACTAGCTGTTTCTTATATCTAAATAACTATAAATTTGGAAAATTAATGTTTGAAAGTAAGCTGTGTTTGGAAGATTTTACCTATGACGCAGAAAAAAGACACCGGTGTTTCATACTGTATTTCATAACAATAAATTATTAAAATATTACAGCTATAATAACAAATGATATAATATTTTCCACTTATTTCGACCTAAATAAATGCGAAATAATGTGAAAAAAGTATGTTTAATAGAAATCCTGCGTCAAAGGGTGACAGCTCGTGTCCCAGGAGGCTCGAGTGTTCTTTTTTTTTTTTGTCGTATGCCTGTTTAGGCAGTGGGGGTGAGATTGTTCCTGTTTTTCAGTGCTGCCATCTAGGGCTAGGAATTCGACTTCTGCCACGCCCTTCACACAACCACAACCCGTTTATAGGACGGGTCACATTCACACACAAAGGAGAAAGGACATGGAACATACAGAGAGAGAGAAAGAAACATCCATGCCTTGCCCGGGATTCGAACTCAGGACTTTTCTGATGCGAGGACAGTTCCCTGCCCCCTACACAGGCCGGTCGGCTTTCGAGTGTTCTCGTTAGTCTGAAAGTGGTCTGAATTATATTAGAAGATAAATTCTGTTCGAAGCAAAAATAAGTTCTGACAATGATTGAAACTTTCACTGTCATCAGACTTATAGATTCAGTACAGATTAATTAAAGATTTAAAAATATTACAGACTATTTCTTACAGATTACAGATCCAATATTAGATTATTAACTTAACTAGTCGAAAAATGTTCGAAATTTCCATTAGATGTATCCTATTTCATCTTCGAGAAAATAAGTATAATAACAATAAAAATAATAACGAGCTTCTTTGGTTAAAACAAGATATAATTTTATTTTTGTCAGACCTAAAACATAAAGTTCAGGAGCATATCACTTTCAAAGGACGTTGCAGAAATTTTCAGTAGAAGTATACAACGAATTTGGCACAGATTTCAATATGAGATTTGAGCACTCTAAGTAGTCAGAATTTTTATGATAATTTTAATTAGTTTTAGCAGTAATAGTGCAATAAATTCTTGTCTTAGCTGTCAGAAAACTATTGAGATTTTAATGGTTTTTAGATTAAGAGTTGCACTTGAGATTAAGAAGTCGAAATTTCGATTGAAAGATTTCACCGTTATTGACATGAAAATTAGCTAATAAAAATAAACAAATTAACATTCCCATAAAATGTACTGAAAGAATATAAAAGAGCATTAATAAGAATGTTATTATTTTTTTACTTACCAGACATCATGTAATTGTGCATTGCATCATGGTCAATGCGTTTGGAAATATATAATGTACTTGCAGCCTTTCGCAGCATTTTCTGTAATTTTTCCAGCGTATCCCACCAGGTGGCTTGATCCTGTGCTTGAAGCTTTGGGGCTCTCTGCACACAATGTCATAAAATTTCAAAATAAAAAATAAACGTTTCATTCATTACCCAACCCCAACATTTTAGAAAAAAAAAACGTTTGCACGTCTTCGAAGGTTCTATCTTCACGTAAAATAATGTTTCAATATTCTTTTTATAACTATGAGATGATAATAGGTATTTATGACTGTTAAATAAAGTTTTGCACATCTTTGGATATCTTCCTATTTCCTGATCATTAAAATGGTGCAAAATATGACAAAAAGGAGATCTGCAGATTTATGAAAATTAAAACCGTTCATAATTTAATTTTTTTAATATTTGAAAAGTTACAGCGACACTGCAGTAAATAATGTTATTAAAATATTCAAAGATTGAAAAATATTAATTGATTTTAGTGATTTTAATCTAAATCTCGCCAAATTGATGTTCTTTTTAAAAATATTTTTATTAAAGTTTAAAAATATTTTTAATATTTGTCTGTTTTACAGATATCGAGGGATATTTAATACATGATATAAAATGTTATTTTTGCTTCAAGTTAAAAGCAATCAAACTGTGGTTTTATTTTAATTTTCTCAGAGTTAAGAAGGTTTAAAAAGCACCATTAAGAATAACTTTCATTATTAAGCTGTATCATTAGTGTTTCTCATAAAATTGTAAAGTTTAATTTTCCGTTATTGAAAATTGTGCTGAAAATCATCGGAAAATATCTCTTTGATCAAACTCCGTCACTTTTCTTTTCTGTATCAACTGATTAAAACCTCATTCTTTTTAACTCAAACCTGGTTTCAATAAATAAAAAAAGTCAAGCAATTTGTTAAATGATCCCATGTGGTGGTAACCATTCTCATGTGCACTAATTTCTTAAGTACCATTTGTCTTAGTGCCAGGGCTGGATTACCCACTAAGCCAGACTAGGCTATGGCCTGGGGCCCCCAATGATTAGGGGCCCCCTTAAAATAGATTTTCTGAAAATAAATTTTGAAAAATTAAAGTTCCACAAGATAATGCATAACCTAAAGAAGCGTCTTTAATGCTTAGTGCTAACGTGACAATCATGAAATTTTTAAATCTAATGCTTTGCTCTCCTAAAGAATTTGAAAATGTGGCTTGTCATTTTATTTCCCCAATCAAACAGTAAAATATAAATTTAAATTGAAGAGCTGAGTAGAAAGATATCCTCACGTTTAGTCATAAATACTTTAGTTTCTGAGTTTATTAACCATAGCGGTAAAAAATACTTCCATAGATAACATTAAAATTAGAAATTTATTTATTCTTCCAAGAGAAAGGAAGATTTTAATAGAGTTCGAAAAAAGTCATTTAGTTTTCGATCTAGTTTAATACTAATTTTAAAAAAGAAGTCACTGAAATACACATTACACATTATTCTAGATTAAGTTCTTCAGATATCTCAAAAGAGAAAATTTACATATAACAATCCATCGATATTAGTTAGCATAACTAAAGATAATCTTAAATACCTTATTGTTGAAGTTCACCAAGACAGAACTGATTGGCTGAAGGACGAACACTGAAGGTACAGCATTCGTATCCTCTCTGTACCACCTGTCCAAAAGCGATACATCCTGGTTCATAAGACCTAGTGTATCGTGTATCATGCGGAACTCTTTGCCATCAATTATCGTTGGTATCGGCCTATAGCCATATTTTTGTCCTAGGAATGTCTGTAAAAAATTGAATTAAAAATGTTTGGAAGGAAATGTTTTATACGCAAAGAACGATGAAAAAATTAAATACTGCAACTTACAATTTAAACTGAATTTGATGGAATGAATTCTTTCCTGGTAAGTAAAAAAAAAACTGCTGTCGCCAGACGAAGGATATACAACCAGCTTTTTAGCAAGGCAACAATCCCCGATCTAAACTGCCCAAGAAACCTCTCCTCTACAATAGCTAGGCTACGTACTAGACATTTCAAAGGCATGAAGATCTCACGCACCAATCCTATCCCATCTGCAAGTACTGTCCTCATTTGCAACTAACTCCAGACCATGTTTTTCACTGTCATTCCATTATCGGCTCCCTCTTTCAACTTGGAGCACCTCCCATCGAAATTCTCCATCCATGGCCATCGGGCTCCAGAACTTGCAAATCTTGTTATCAAGACTTTCGGAGGACTATAATCTTTGCACTAGTACTGTATGCATAGACACGACAACAACAAGTAAAAAAAAATAATCCTGCTGTTGAATTTTTTTTATAGATCTAGCTTCTAGCTTTTAAACAGCTTCTAGCTTTTAAAAGCTTCTACTATCTAGCTTTTAAACAATCTAAATATCAAACTGTCAACTTTTCATGGCTCACTTAAAACTTTCTGAAACTCAAAATAAACTCCATTTAGCAAACACGTAGTTTTTATGATAAAAAATTTGGATCACTTAATCGACTTGACCTACAATATGACTCGAAATTTCGAATGGATCTGAAATGCAATTTTATTACATTTAGGCCTTCTTGTAACTATCATGCACCGTTTATTTATTTTTTGAAAGTTTTTGGACTCAGTCCACTCACTGCACTAACTATTTAAGTGTTAATGATGATTATCACTTACCACAAAGTTGGGACCCATGGATAAGCGCTGACAATTTTCGATTTCTCGCATGCATAAATCTGTAGTCATGTGATCGTCAGTCGCTTCATCTCTCACACCCCAACGCATATCAACAACCTAAACACAATAAAAAGATAAATACAACGAAGGGAGAAAATAGTTAATAATAAAAAAGTAAAACTGGATAACTGGATTCTCGAAACTGGTGATAAATATCGTCATTGAGACTTAGTCAATATGACTCTATTAAATGAATTAAAGAAAAATGGAAGTAGATAAAAAAAAATATACAGTTTTCTAGCCTCATTTTAAATATCCAAAGAGTTATTTCCGATGCATTTTCAAAATTAGTTGCAAAAATCCTCAACAGATAGCGCTACTGGCTTGGAAAACAAATTTTAATGTTTTTTCCTGCTTGTCAGACCATCGCAGCTGAAATATTTGCGCGAGTGTCTGTTAATTTTATCTTCTAACTGCGCCACGTTAATGCTCTGCAAACAATGGTTATTCTGAAAACCTTTTATTATTATTTAACAGTCAGTATCGCCATCTATAGAGAAACTTTTTTATTAATTTTGAAACTAGATTGGAATAACCAATCTGCTCGCACATTTCGAACTTCTTCCATTTTCCTTTGCGGTTGGACATTCGTCATTGGACATTTTTGGAGCAACTTGAAAATACCTTGTAATTTCAGTATCTATCGACCCTCATATGCTATTTCTCAAAATGACAAGACTTCATATGAGAATTTATTGCTTGAAAATACTGAAGTTGAATGACATAAATATTTCTCGTTTTGAGGCGACGAAGATAATAAGAAGTTATAAAGATTTCCTGCATAAATACGGGCACGCCTTATTAGAATTTGTAAAAATAGGAACATCTAAACTTAACGCATAGCATTTCTTCAAATGATAATACATGAAAGAAAATAGCAATAATTCCCTCAAGGTTCAACACGAAATTGGAGAATGGAGTGTTATACTGTCTAACAATTACGAGATGCACTCTCATTGAAAGGCTAGCCCATTTCGCGAAGTAGTTGGGGTGGCAGATATCAGGCAAAAATCTGCCGTCCGGCGGGAACTATAGTTTATTTATGTGAAGAACTTCTTTTGCCCTTCGCTTAGAGCACTGTTGGTGACTATGATTCTCTTTGCAATGCTCCATTTCTTGTTTCCGTAACAGTAGACGGCCTTAGACTTTGTTGTGAGTGAAGTTGTTTTAATAGACCAAATACAATATTTTTTTCAGCGCGATGACTAACCAAAACACTAGATTCACTGAATAAATAGACCAGTCTGTTTCTATAGCGATCGCCACCAACACGTCTCATGTTGGGAACTCATCTCGTGATTACCAGACAGTAGTGATATTTTCCCATTCTTTGTTTATTTTCCCTGTTTTTCTTCATTTTGCTTTTAGTTGAAATTCGATTGCTAACGCCGTTAAAAATTTGTTTCCATGAGTGTGCTATTTTTTAATGTCTCTATGCTACAACTTATGTGATAAAAGAAAAAAAAACTTTGGCTACTTATTTTTAGTAATTCTCAGAGTAAATTTAATTTTTAAAAAAAAATATTATTCTGCTTGTATTTGTTTGATTTTGCAAAATATATTTAATATATTTACTATGTAGTAAGTATTAATTTAAATTAGTCAACAAGTATATATATATATATAGTTCTTAAAAGTCGTGACATATATTTTACCTGAAATTCCAGGCCGTGTTTCTCTCGGCAAAAGTCTTTAATTCGTGGATAAACTTCTTCCATCAATGCATTTCTTTCCATTGACATATCTTTAGAGAAACAAGTAATATTTTAATGAATAAATTTTACAAGTTTATCTAGGCCGGGATAGCCTGGTACGCAGGGCGCTGAACTCACTAACGTGAGAACATAACTGAAGGTGATATTTTACTCAAATATGGCCAAATAAGGGATAAAACTAAAAACACGGCTAACCTTACAGTTCATTAATTTTATGATATTAGTTTTCTTAAATTTGTTTTTGGACAACCAGTTAGAATTTATAAATATCCGGAATCTCTTATGAAAAGTACGCTTAAATTTAAACATAAATCACATTCATAAAACTTCCTAGAATATTAAGCTTGTTCACACATCGCCTCGTAGGCATAACATACGCGGAAGGATACACCAGAAAATTTCTAAATGTCTTCTGGTTTTGAGAAGCTCGCATTCAGTCAACCCTCCACATTGTTGGAAAAGTTGATATTATTTCCTATCTTCTTATACCTTAAATATTAAATCTGAACCTTCAGCTGATGGGATTCAATTATCGACTATGTCAACCTTCATCTATCAAAAGGTACCTCGTGATGGTTTCAAGTTACCATGTTTTATATACTAGTGATTTGGTATTTAATATTTGTAGTGGTAGTTACGCCACAATCTTATCTTTGAGCAAAAATTAATCAAATTGATCCGTAAACTAATTCAGAGAGGATAAAGGCTATAAGTAACTTGATAGAGGTTGTTATGAAAAATTTAAATTTAATTGATCATACATCCTCTTCATTTATTATATTCTCTTGTTTCTTTCACTGTTCAAAAATCAAAACTATTCTTTTACGTTTCTTGCTTTATATAGATTAAACAGTACAGTACAATGTATATAAATCTTGTTTTCAAACGGAAACATTAACATGTGGATTCAAATGAATTACTATTTTGAATCATTAATAACATTTCATTTTAATAATCATTTTGATTTTGTTAAAATGAAATTTACTTGGTGATAAATTGATGCCAAATACAAGGATCAACAGTAGAATTTGTTTTATTCTTAAATAAGTCAATTTGATTTGTTCTTCTTGTTAGCTACCCTTTTTCTATAGAATGCCTAGGCATTGTATACAATGCCGGATGCTTTTAGGCAAGGTATAAAATATGAGAAGCATTACATACTTACCCTAGGCATTGTATATAATACCTAGGCATTCAATAGAAAAACAAATGCTATTTAGGCAAAGTATGAAAAAAAAACTTTCTGATGAGGTTATTATGTAAATGATGTGCATTTCTCAAAAATAAAAATGTTATTCTGAAAAAATAATGAGAGTGCCATTTAAAAAAAAAAACAAATAGTGCGTGGAGTCCCTCCGCGTGGAAGAAGTGAAACTTCGTAATGTGGAAATGAAAATAGGAAGGGGTAGAAATTGATTTTTAGTGAAATCATATTGTTTCTTTAAGACAAACTTTATTAACATTGCTTACAATTCACAATTGACCGCATCTTTTAATTATCATTTTCGAGTGGAGAAATATCCAAATCTATAGCATTTACAATGGTATTATGATAACTAAAGTAAGATACGAAATGTTTGAGTTCTATTTTTACAATATTTGTTGCAAAAACTGGCCGGCTTGAATAACATTTTGAATTACATTTCATTACATTACGAAACGAATCGAAGATGTATTTTTACACTTTGCCGGTTTCTCATTTGGCATTCTATTATAGAATGTCTAGGAAATGTGTGAAATATAAATCGTTTCATACATTACCGGCTAGTTATAGGCATTGTATACAATGCCTAGGCATTCTATAGAATGCCGGATTTCAAACTTTGCCGAGAACATAGTCATTGGATCTAATATGACCTTCTCAATGATCGAGAGCTATAGTTTCGCTTCTGATTTGCAATGATGATTAGCTTCTTCTTTTCTTTTTTTTCCCTTTCTTTTTCTTTCTTTATTTTTTTTTTTTTTTTGCTGATGAATTTGACTTTTGATTGTGTTGTTGTTTGACAAATCTATTTTGCTGATGAAATCCTTTAGCAAACAGCATTGTTGTCTTTTTAAGAATTTTGCTGAGAAAAGGCAATGGAATATTAAACACATTGGTTTTATAAGGCGCCATCTGTTGGAGTTAATTAGAGTTGACAGGAATTGTGGCTAAACTACCACTACAAATATTTAATACCAATTCACTAGTATGTAAGACATGTTAAATTAAATGAAGCTTGAGGTAAAATTTGGAAGATGGATGGAGGGATTTAAGTTTTGTCAATCTCCATCTACCATTTATTACCTTTTGATTTAATCGATGGATGTTTCACATTAAACAGTTGATTTGCTCACAAATTAGAGGTCAAGAATCTGGTGAAGTAAATACAATTTTCCCAGTCAATTAAGAAAAAATAAATAAACAGCATTCATCAACTAGTAGTATTCGTTCATCGAATCTGATCACAGATAAAATTCTGGAAAGATGGGTAATGTGGCATAACTACCTCTACAAACATTCAATACCAATTTACTTCTACATAAGTCATGTCAACTTGATTCCTTCTAGAGGTGCCTTTTGATAAATGAAGGATGACATAGTCGGTAAATATAACCCCTCACGTTAACCAGACTAATAGTTAGTAAAGAAAGAATTTCGACTCAAGCAGGAATCGGTGAAGTAGATTATGTTGGCGACAAACAGCAAGCTTTTATGTTAACTTCCACTATCTGTTCTCGCTTAACAAAAGTTTAGTATTTTTATTATGAAATTAAAATTCAGACACTCTTACAATATTCTCTTAAAATTAATGTAATCTGCAATCGATCACAATACATTTAAGATTACACATAGTATAAATGCAGCTAGTTATAGTGAGCCAAAAAAAAAAAAAGGTATCAGCTTTAATAACTTTAGATCTAATGATCTGATTTTCACGTTCTAAGTATCAATCTTAACGGTTTCTGGGGGGGTGACTTCAAATATTAGTGCCCCGCAATGGACTGATCGTTAAGACACGGTATCCAGCAGATCACCGAAGTCAAGCATCACTGGCTGCGGTCAGTGTGAGGGTGGGTGACCTCTTGGATCAGTCTGCGTAGGGACCGAAGGTGTGCGGTATTGGTCCTCGTTAAACTGTTCTACCGCAAAGTGCTCGTCTTTGCATGCAGGTTGTCGGTCTACCGAAGCGGAGGTGCCATCCCCTCTGCAGAGGATCAAAATTGTGATGGCATGTCTTCGGATCATCCTCAGGGATGTTTCTCAGACCGTCGCCAATAGCCCATTGTGTAGCTCTAGTGCAACTTTAATGAACAACAACAACAAATATTAGTATGATCTATTAATCAAGTTGCAAAATCAGACACCAAAATGCACTTTCTTTGAAAAAACATATATTTTTTTTTTAAATATTTGGATTCCTGAACCTCAAAATAGACAAAAATTTGAAAAAATTACCGTCGGCCCAAAAAGAGACCGAGAATTATCGCCACAGCAGATTAAAAATTTTATATAGTAATTATAGCATTCGGTTATTTCATATCCATATTTGAATTGCTCTTTTTTGGGTTTACGACTACTGATGTTCAACTTAGTAGGCTTGAAATTTTGATCCAATTCAGAAGACAAGGAAACTCCTGGATCAGTACCCCCAGAGGTATTGATTTGTAATGGGAACATGGAGGACTTTGTGATTCGACAGATTTAACGTGCATCAGTCACCATTTACTACACGGGGATTCTTCGGCATGCGAGGGTCGAACCCACGAGCTCTTGGACATGGGTCCAGTGCCCTACAAATCATGAAATTTTACGCTATGATAGTCAAGTTTCTCTTAAGTTATCCCCCATTTAAATATTTCTTCACGGTCACCAATTTTTCTTTTTAAAATAATTAATTTTTCTCGGCTTCTGCAAGATAACGACTGCTGAAACTTTGCAATAAAAAATATGTAGATTAATAGGGTATAAAAAATTTTGTACCTCATAATTTAAAATGTTTTCATCCACAATTAAGTTAAATAATGAAAATCAATAAATAATTATTAAAAATTATTTCTTGCATTAAATTATCTTTGGTTAAACGGGTTTTATGAGTGGGTGCAGTTTTTTTTAATTGCTTAATTAGTTCTAAAAATATGACTTAAAACTCAAAAAGTAAATTTAACATTAAGAGGTCCGAACTTTGGATCGCTCTCCTGATCAAACTATGGGAACCATATTTCCCAGATTGCTACTTCACCCTATTCGCGATCGCAACACTCGAATACGCCATCTGGGGAGAGACCGGTTTCATGCCTTTAGCCCTTCTCCTTTCCCTCTCCTCCTCTTTTCAGTTGTATAGGAATGTACTACGATATTTTCCCTTTTCTTAACATTTTTCCTTTTTATTTAATCGAAATATTTTTTAAAATTTCCATGATACTTTTCTTTAGAACTATGTTTAATGCAGTTTTCAGTTTCATATAGTGTTTCAAGTTGAAAGATTTTAATCTATATGAAAATCAAGAGAGAAACTAACGTACTTCCTTCCTCTATGACTTTCCACACGCTAATGGGGAAAGCATGTGAAGTGTTGCCATAGGAAAAGAGTTCTGCTCTACGCCACCTGCAGCCCATTTCGATCGCCAATATTTTGAAGGTTAAGAATCCAAACATGTTTTTAAAAAATACATGATAGACTCGACTCTAGGGCTTCGAGAAACCTCGATATTGTTTCTGAAGTTATACATCTTATGCGGCTTCCAACAAGGTTGCGTTAAACGTTTAACGCTACATTTTTATTGGCCGGGAAATCACGTGGTAGGATCCAGTTTTTCCTCATTCATTTCCATATTGTTTTGGATCTCACTAGCATAAAAATAATAAAAGTCATAAACGTATTGTTTTTTTATAAATATTTTTTAAGTTTTTTTGATACACATATAATTTAATACACATATAATTTAATTTTTTATATTTTTTATTTCCAAATTTAGTGGATAACAATTGTAAAAAATGATTGAAAACGATCCCACGGACAATGCGACTGATTTAAGGTTATGTCAAGGTACGTCTCTTGTGAATATCAATTGATTGTTAGGTTTTCTCTTCTGAAATTACATTATGACGCATTCGCATACATTATTAATGCAAATACATTTTCCAGGGCGAGACGATGAGGCAACCACAAGCACTTCCACTGGTTCAAGAGGTCCACGAGGGAAAAATGCACAATATTACCGTGATTACAGAGCACGGAAGCGAGTGGAGCAGGAAAAAGAGTCGTTGAATAGAACTAGTGATCCTTCTACGACTGCTGATTCTTCTACAATTAACGTCGCAGGTTGCGAAATTTAACTTCTTCCGCACTATCCCACTCCACGCACTATTTTTTTTTCCTGTTTAAATTATAATTTGCAATCTCTTACGTACACACTTTTCAGTTTCATTTTTGACAAGGTCTAAAAAATATATTAAAGGTAGTAATTTCATTACACCCTGTGCAACGAAACATTTAAAAATGAAGGAAAAGAACGTATTTTGTCCACTTTTAACAAAAATGAGAATTTGATCACCCTCTGTTGCATTTTGAAGTACGTTTGAACTAGGTTTGGAGATCAATAACTATTAAAATCAGTTCTCGCAGAGTTATTACAGAGTAAAGATAGGTTGTGCTGCGGAAAAACCGTTCCTGTCTCCATTGCAATTCGTTTCTTAATCCGCCTCGCAATTCATTGCATGAAATAGACACTGAACATTCAAATAATCACCTTCTATTGAGTCATCAAAATAGCAATGACTCATAAACCAGTAGCGAAAGGAATTAGATTTTTAATTTCACAACATTACTAAAAAATTTTTTTTTTCAAAAGTACCTGTAAAGGTGGAACTGGTGAATATTCTGACAATCTTTGAACTGACAGGTGGGAGATTGTCGAGGCAACCTAAGAATATACCATCGATTGCTCTGTCGTCCATACTAAAAAAAGAATAACGTCATGGTATTTTAAATGCCCATACAATGTGCTTCTTAATCACCACTTTTAAGGTGCATATTTTTAGAATTATTTTTTAAAAAAAGAGTCAATAATTGCTATTTCAGTAAATGAAAAAAACAAACATCACATCAAAATCTGTAGAATTATTATTGAGCGATGCTAGTTCAAAGCCCTCAAAATCAGTTTAAATGCCGGTAGAAAATTAAAAATATTTCCGTCAATTGAACATTTAACATCTCTTTTAAATTTCATCAGGCAATCAAACATATTCGGTGCTTTAAAGTCTCACCTTCCTAAAAATGAATCGTAATATTTTTAGAACATTTTCGTTTTTTTTTTTCATACTTAGTACTCGTAATTAATTTTTGGCTTCTAAGGCATTCTTTTTTTTAACTCTATTTTAAACAAAGATCAAGGATTCTAACATATATATATATATATATATATATATAAAAATNATTAATTATTCAAATCGAAACACTTACTCATACTTTTAAAAAGCCACATCCTGTTCTTAAATCTATTTTTGGTTCAAATATGCATAATTAAACGTAAAGACATTTTTCCCTTTAATCTTCGTAGGAATCACTCGACCTATTTCATAAACCAATAATAATTTCTAAGATTTCCCCAAATAGAGATATTTTCGGATTTTTTGCAAGATTTTCCCTACCAGAAAGACTGATCGTCGATGGAGTTAACTTTTCGCTCGTCATCCATTCGAAAATTATCTAAATAAATTCTTGTGTTTTCATTAAAATCCTGTATCTGTTTTCCTTACTTGCGAAATACAATTCACTGCAAAATTAAGCAAAAAAATTTTTTACTTTTTTCCGGGCATGTACACTATAAAAGAATTACTTTAATTTCTAATATCTTGCTCAGATTTAAACAAATTTTACTCGAATTTTAAAATAATAATTATGTAATTAATTTTAAATTGCTACACATGTTTTTTTTTTAATTTTATTAAATATTTTTAAAGTTACTGCAAAATAAAAGCTAAGACAAAAAAAATTAGTCTCTTATAAAAATGTCCATATTTTCATAAATATTTAAACTAAAGTTTACGAAATTTTGTGCAATTATCGCATATAATATCCAAAGTAATTGTTACAAGTTACAAATTTTGCTATATTTTGTGGTTTAGCCTGTTCAAAAACCCAGATCCCGAACGACGTTGCAATATGTTCCTAAACAATGTTGCTAAAATGTGCCGGCGCTCCATCGTGCTGAAACGACATGCTTCGACGTGTAGCTGCTCGAATGTCAAGCATACGATCCGTCAACACTCTTTTCAAAAAGTACGATAGATATTTCCGTCGAGGTGTTGAGGTAGTAAATATTTTATTCTATAACAGTCGTTATACTGCCGACCCAATTTTGAGTTTACAACTACTAATGTTCAACTCTGGAGCCTTGTGGTTTTGAACTCCACCCAGGAATCAGGGAAACTCCGGTAACATGTCACCGATAATGGTTTAGGGCAGGGCTGGCGAACCTTTGTGCACCAGCGTGCCATTTTTTTCTAAACAATTGTTTAATGAGGTCATAGACGTGCCGTCAAATAATTTTGACTTCGTGATTATTGGGAAAATAATAATACTAAATACTATCAACTCAAAACTCTTTATTTACTATGAAAAATAATACATTTTGCAATGTTTCAGTTATACACGTAATTCAACTTAAAGTAACATCAGTGTGACTTCTGTTGTTGCAGATTAGATGACAAATAACTTATATTAGGTTGTAAGATTTTAGTTCAAGCATTACTGTTAATTTTTTGCTAGTTATTAATTGTTAGCTTGTTTTTTATGCTTATTAATTGTTTTTTTTTGGCATTAATTGTTAATTATTTGGTTAAAAATTGCTTATTCTTTTGTTTGTTTATTGCGAATTTTAATTTAATTATTAATATGCTTCATAATGAACTTTGTGATAGGTGGCGTGCTCAAAATATTGTATCGCGTGCCATTTAGGGCACGCGTGCCGTTGGTTCGCCATCCCTGGTTTAGGGTGAGACATTATTGAATTTATAAAATTGATCTGTTGCTCCTTTTGCAAGGGTGCTAATAAAGGTTTAGAATCAACCTTTAACAATCCATTTATATTTTCTCAAAGTTTTACAATATAATCACTGTTTGTTTTCAATTCTTCTTATTTATGTAGTTTTTACTTCATATTGTAGTTTTTTATTTTGTATTGTAGTTGATTAAATTTGTAATTGAATATCGAAAGACATAATCCAATGCTGACGATGACGTCATCCGAGAGAAGGGGGGGGAGAAAATATTGAGAATTTCCTTGAAGATTTTTTTTGAAATTTTTTTTTTTATTCTTTATCATTTGTTAATTTATTTTAAACTATAATATTCAAAGAAGAAAAAAAGCAGATTAATAATACTTGGATATTGGACGCCACCAGCAATTCGTTAGGCATCATGGAGACTAGAATCTTGAATCGTACGACCCTCATGACAAATTAAAAGTAGTAAGAGCATAATAAATTAAGTTTTATGCAAATCTATCAATTTAAAGACAGATGTGAGAAGTTCCGTTATAGAGTGGTCGTTATCTTTGATGACGTCATTGCGGGAAAATGTACCATGTGTCTCATGTTCAACCGAATCCAAAATACTTACTGGCCCAGCTATTAAATATTTCTGCAAAACAACTACACGTTATGTGTACCATACATCAATATTGATGAATGTTATAAACAGGGTTTAACTAGAATAGTTGCCCGACTCCAATATTTTTGAAAGTATTTACGATGTACTGAGCCGGATTATACCTTTCGTAGGCCCTAGGCATAGCCGTTTTTGGGCCACCCCCTCCTTCCCCCACTCCTCCCCTCTTTTCAAAATATATGCTAACATTTTCCTGCATATTTTTTTTTTTACATTTTTATTAATATGAATTTTAATTTACAAAATTTAATTTAATTTCTCAAAATTCTCTACATTTAATTTAATTTCTTGTTCACAAAAATTTGTCAGAATCTGAGATTAAACAAAAAGCGCAAAATTTGGTGAAAATTTACTCATCCGATTTAGAGGAAAACTTTGTAGATGAATCTGTACTGTTTTCAAATTTGTATGAACATAAATCTGCACAAGAAATGTTGAAGGCTCAAATTAAAGATAAACTTGTGAATACTTTTCCTAACGTTCACATTGCATTAAGAATATATTTGTCGATTCTTGGATCAAATGCAGAAGGAGAAAGATCTTTCTCCAGATTAAAATTGATAAAAAAATTATTTGCGCTCAACAATGAATCAAGATCGTTTGGCATCGCTCGCACTTATGTCTATTGAATACGACATTTTGCGTAGTTTGGAATTCGACAGCATAATACGAGATTTCGTTGAATCCAAAAATCGCAAAAAAGTAATATATTAGATCATAAGATTCTGCAAAATAATTTATTACCAAAAAATATTATATTTTTATTTGTATCTTCATAATTAGTTGTTTTTAAAAGCTAAATTATTTTTGTCAAAAAATTTTTTTCTCCCAAGTTTTTCGTAGGCCCCTGAATTTCGTAGGACCTAGGCACGTGCCTAGTGTGCCTATAGGTTAATGCGGCCCTGGGTAAGCTGCATTATTATAAATACAACTGATGTTTTTGAAATAAGTCTTAGCAACAATGGTATTGTTACATCGTCAGGGCCGGATTAACCTATAGGCACACTAGGCACGTGCCTAGGTCCTACGAAATTCAGGGGCCTACGAAAAACTTGGGAGAAAAAAAATTTTTGACAAAAATAATTTAGCTTTTAAAAACAACTAGTGTATTTTGCACAAAATTATGAAGATACAAATAAAAATATAATATTTTTCGGTAATAAATTATTTTGCAGAATCTTATGATCTAATATATTACTTTTTTGCGATTTTTGGATTCAACGAAATCTCGTATTATGCTGTCGAATTCCAAACTACGCAAAATGTCGAAAATTTTAGCATATATTTTGAAAAGAGGGGAGGAGTGGGGGAAGTAGGGGAGGGCCCAAAAACGGCTATGCCTAGGGCCTACGAAAGGTATAATCCAGCTCTGAGCTTACCTTAAATCGAAAAATCATCATTTTCAACATAATTTCTTTATTTTAACATAAATTTGCTTTATTTGATATCTAGTGAAACCGCGACTACGGAGAATACACATATACTGTAAAAACTCGATCTAACGAGTAAGACATATTACCGTAAGTTCACTATTTTATTTTACTTTATAACCGTCGTTGAGCAGCCTCCCTAAGTTTGGGTTTACGACTACTAATGTTCAACTCGGTAGCCTTCTAATTTTGAACCAATCCAGAAGACAAAGAAACTCCTTTATCAGTACCCCCAGAGGTATGATTTGTTATGGGAACATGGAGGACTTTGTGACTCGACAGATTTAACGTGCATCAGTCAATATTTACTACACGAGGATTCTTAGGCCGTCGAGGATCGAACCCACGAACTCTTGGACATGGGTCCAGTACCCTACCAACCAGTCTATCACAGCTATAGGTTCGCTATTATGACAAATTTTCAAGTGTTATTTCCCTATTATAGTGTTAGTCCTTCCTATTATAGTCCTTCATTAGTGTTATTTCCCTATAAATGTAACATTAAAAATACAAAAATTAAGTACTTAAAACGAGTTTTTAAAAAAAATACTAGCCTTCCGATATTTTGACATTTTTTTAAGGGAAATACATTTTTCTGCTGTTTTAAGTAAGTAATATAGAGAAAAACTGATGACATTTTAATTAATTTCCTATACTTATACAGAAAAGTGAAAAACGAACATCATTTCCTTCTTAACTCTTTTTGTACGGATCATTTTCGTATTTCTTACCGACGTATAATTCTTCTGCTGTTTTTAGGATCCCTGGTGTCAAGAACCCCATCCTTTAATTGCAAAAATGATCAATAGATGGCGATAGTATGCCTAGTTTTGGAATTAAAATGATTTTATGTAAAAACAGCTGTTCGAGCAGAAAATAAAGTAGTTATTGTTCTTGTTGAGTTCGGCTCTTCACTTTTCAATTGCTGTTCAATAAAAATTGGATTTTAAGTTAACGAATTCCTGACACTGGCTCTTACTTCAAAGGAATGCGTCGTTTATTGACATAATACCTACCATGCGCCATTATTTTTCTTCTAGATAGCTTACTATCGAAATCAACATTCGCTGTTATCGCTAACGTTGCTTGTATTTGGTAACTTGCATCTACTAGTAGCAACTTGTATTACTGATATCGTTCATTTGTAATTGTTATAAGCTGCTTTTATTTACTTTAAATACTTGATGACCTTACTAAAATGATGAACCATCACGATGATAAGACATTCATTTTCATAGATCGATGCCGTGTGAGAATACATAAATGCTGCTGGCAAGACCTATCATTTCGTTGCAGATGTGACATCTGTTTAACCCTGAACCGTCTAATCGTCGAGTCGAATGAGGCTGAAAAACACGTGACCTCATCTGATATAAAGTTTATTATCTAACGCTTGATCAAGATCAAAAATCTATTGACATATTAAAAAACAAATTTAACAAAAAGAAATGAAAGAATGAAATCTTAATTTAAATGTATTAAGAATTTAAGAAACTTAATATAATTATTATTCTTTAAAAGAGCTTTGGTCAAAGGAACTAAGGACGCTTTCAAAAAATGCTGGAGTGATGGTTTTAGTTGAATCAACTATAAATAAAATAATTAGACGCTAAAATATAAATTATTTTCTTATGTCTCAGCGTGAATCTGAAGATCATGTGATCAATTGAAGTTGAGATATCATCCATCAAATTAAGAGTAGTGATTTTACAGCAAAAATTGCTGGGTTTTTTTGTCGTAGTTTTTTATGGTTGAAGCTAAAGTAAGCATGCAAAAGTATGTTAATAACACTTTTATTGTTGTACTATATACTAGGTCTATTTAAGTGCCACCGTCCGGTATACATTTTCCCGGTATACCCTACACTGATGTTTTTTTTTAAGGTACAGTGCCTATGCCCGGTATTATAATTGCCAGGTACTCTGAACACTGATGTTTCTCCTAATCTATCCTCAGTAAATATTTAAATATCGAATTAATGTAATAATACCAACGAATATAATATCAAATCAGGTATAACAAATATTTAGGACATTCACCAAAGCTACTATGCCATTGTTGACATTCACCGGTGAAAGTGGACATTCTCTTGATTTCAATCATTCACGGTAACATATATACCGTGACCAAAAAGTTCTCATTTAACTCTTGAAGCACGTTAAAAAAATTATATAAGTGTTACTGTAGTGCCAATTCCTTCCTGACAATTTAGTATAATGTTTATATAAGCTATTGCAAGCTTATATGTTGAGTTACTTATAATATATTCAGTGTTTGCTAAAACAAAAAGGAAACAAAGAGTGGAATATATTCTTGTCTGATACGCTGGGGATGATTTTGTTTTTTCAGACGAGGAACTATTTGTTTTACAGCGAAGTCTTTTTTGTTTGTTTATTTATTTATTTTGTTATAAAATAGAATTTTAGCAGTAGATGCGCATTTCTGAAACAGCGTTTACGTATAACAACGGAATACTCCGCAACTTTAAGCATTCTTCAAACGATATTTGTTCAAACGATATTTGTTTGAATCGATATTTGTTATAAAAGAACGGTATCGATAAAGATAGCACTCACCTTTCTCAAGATTAGAGAATTCCACGTAAAATTGAATAAGTAATAAAAATCATTGTGAAGAAACAACCTATTTAAAAAATTATGTAACTTGAATGTTCTCGAAACGAAGTTACAAAATATAGTTCCAAAATTGTTCTAAATTTTAAGATTGGAGAGATTTTTTTATTGTGATGATATTATATTCTTAAATTCATATATCCGTTTATTGCTTAAATTAGTGAGAGTCTATTTCCTCCAGTGAGTGCCGATACTTAAACAACATCTTTGCCTTGGCCCCAGCTGGATTCAAAATTGACTTAATATGGTTCCTATAAGAACATATACCAAGAGACCAATGTTGGATGCCTAGATTTTTTAATAGTGTTCCTAGAATGTTATGCATAAGGCCAATATAGTCTGAATAGTGAATATAAAATAGCAGGTGAATGTGACAACCCTATATAGGGCCGATATTGGTTGCAAAGTAGCTATATCGGTGGAATCGGACAATTCTATATAGGGCTCTTGAACCCTTATTGCGCCGAGATTCGTAAATAATGGTTCAATGAGAACCCAAGTTATTTTGCTACTATGGACACTCCAATTTGGAGGGGAGGAATAATAATTCTGTAATCACTAATTGGTAACTAAAGAAAACTCAATAACTCCTAAAAAATAGGGGTAAAGATCGTTTTACCGATGTGAATAAAAATCGTTTTACTGATGTGAAAACCCGAGTTCTTAAAACCCTGTTATCAATACAGGCAATATTAACAATTATTTCATACATATGCCTAGAACCTAGCGACTAAATCTGTTGGAACTGACATTCACTACATTCAATAAATAAATCGACATTTGCCGCATATAAAACTTACACAGTATAAATTAAACTTTTGTTCATTAACATAGGATTGCTGTTGAGAACATTTTAAATCAAAGCACTTTGCAACCCACAAGAATCGTTAGTTCTGATTCTAAAATCATAAAATTATTTCAACTATAGATATTTACTTTAACTTCCTGTGCTATAAATAAATGTGATAGGTCGAAAAAAATAAATATGAAAATTAAAACTATTTTTACACTGGATAAAATAGTTTATAAATAAAAATTATAAATAGTGCATAACCAAATATTGAGATAGTAAAAAAGATTCATGAGCGCCACATTTACTTTATAAGAGAGCTTAAATAATGATATCAGAAAATTTTTAATAGTTCTCACCTGATTCAATCTACTTTTTCAAATATCGTCGACAAATTTTATAGTCTTCTGAAATCATGTTTCAAAAAACATAGTTTCGAACTATCACAACAAACTCAGAATACTCATATATTGGAATCCAATTTTTTACAAACGATCGATAAGTGCATAGGGAACATGTTCTGAGCAATTTGATTTCCTTTTCTGTGAGACGTTCTTCCTGTTTTGTTCTTTTTTAATATACCTATCTCAAGAATATGAAACAAGAACGAGAACCAGCGGTCACCATAGTGATTGAGAGAGGTTTAGAACTTGAATTGTGTGTGAATGAATGAACATTCAATTTACGATATTTCTGGGGCAGATAAATGTAAATATTCCGGTTTATATTACTATTATGTTGATTTAGTATTACCATTATACTGATTTAGTTTTAATATTTAATAGTTTTTTATTGTTCTATGAGAAATTTTCATTTCTTCGAATGATTTGGCGACATAGATTTCTTCTCCTGGGGAACAGAAGGAAATATTAAAATAAAACTATTAACTATTTTCGCGAGAATTTTAAAAATCTATAAAAAGCTTTGTCATTTAGGAACGTCCTGAATATCGAACCACTATCACAAAATTGTTAATTATGCCATCACTTTTACTCACTATTTTGTGAAGCTTCTTATTACTTTCCGTTCTAAACAATAACTTAGAGAAGAAAAAAAAACTAATTTTATATTCTTATTGCAGTCCTTTTCAAATCTCTTATTACCAAATATTTCTTAGTAAATCTGCAAGACCTTTGCATTGAATTCTTTGGATTCATATTTGGATTTAAATTCTTTATAAACAACTGTGTAAAGTAATGAGAGTACGCAATAATTATATTCTAAAACTAAACATATGTTCGATTTTTAAACTGTGTGACTTTTTAAAAAAATGGATAGTTTGGGATTATCCCGACGACCATTTTTCGCCCAACCCGATATCATCGCCAAAAGGTAGCTTCTGCGCCAATAACCGCAAATTTTATCCTTGATTACGCGAATTAATTTTCTTTAACGTCTTGAAATATACTATTTTTTTAACTACTGCAACTACCCGAAAAGACTTGGATTCGTATTTAAACGAATTTATGTGACGGCGACTGCAACTTGTCTGTTGGCGCTTTTAAAGCTATCAAAAATTTTTGACCGCCGAAATGATTTATAATAATAGGAATAATTCAATGAGAAATAATTAAAAAAATAGAGGTTTTTTCATTCTTTTTATTGCACTTTTTTATTACGTATTTTTACGCTTAAGCATTTTTTTTGTTATTATTATTATTTTATTATTATTATTATTTGATAAATTTAATGCGTTTAAAATGTTTATTCTGGAAATTGCTTTTCATTATGATGGCGCCAAAGGATTTCCGCATTTTCCCAAAGTTCAGAAAAATGAAATCGATTTCAACTACCACTGTCCTGATTGCAATAAAAATGTTTTGATTAAAATCAAACAAAAAAAATAATAAAAGTCCATCCCGTCGCGTCGGTGAAATATGATGCTTTGTCTCTTAGTTATTGGTGCGTGTTTCGACGAACCCTTTAAGAAGAATGTTATCTTTTTAATATCAGGCCCTGTCCACAATAAATAGTCTAACTGCAGCGTAGACAGACACAGACACAAATAACCACAATTACTGAAAATTGTACATTATGCTCCAAAATTATGAGAGTACTTCGAGCAACAATTGTTCACTGTTATGGGAAAACTAAATAATCAACTTACTTCTATTGGAACCCCGACTTTATAAACGCAATCCGAATTTTTTTGCAAATGCTCAATGTTTCTTCATACATATATCAATATTTTTATGCCGAAAAATTAAATTTGCCGGCAACTAATCTAGTTCTGAATTTGTTTTTGGAGTATGTGAGAGAAACATATTTCTTTATATTCGAATTTAACTATTTTATTTTGAATTAAAAAGTTCTCATAATTTATTCAGTGTATTGTTATTTGAAAGAATATACATTTATAATGTTTTGTATCTGTCTTTCTAGAACCAGTGGCATTTTACTTAAATAATTTCATAAGAATTACTGAAATGTTATTTCAATGATAGATTTTTGACTAGATCTAAAACATATTTGCAAATTTTAAAAAAATCATCTGCCGGTGAAAAGGAAAAAAATTCCTAGATCTCGAAATTCCTCAGACTATTTCTCGGAATCTTAGATTTCGTCGGTGCGCATTTTGGGAACCACTGAGTTAGGGCCTATAAGCAAGCATAGCTATAAATAGCTATCTTTCAACAAAAAAATTTAAATGGTGAAGGTTTTCTAAATCCTATACGTCACTGTCTTTAATCATATCAAATCTTTCTCCCGAGTGATATTGTATTTGATAATACTTATTGTCATGAATTTAAACGCTAATTTCCTACGATTTGTCCTCCGTATCAAATCAAGAATCTTTCGTAATACCAGACTAATGAATTAGATCCTAAAATAACTTGAACTTTAGACAAACGTAAATAAACTAACTTGCTTATAATCCTAATTTTAGATACTTTTTGAAGAAAAAAAGTAACTTGCCACTTCATGTGCTATCGTTAGTGGTGACCCCATTTGATGAATGCTCATATGTGATCTTGTGATTTTTGTATTTACGTTACTTTAATCTCTCTTTGTGTAAGATGATAACCTTTGAATCTAGTTAACTAAAAATGATTGAACTTTTACAGACGTAGTTCATCATGAATCACAATTCAGCCGTAAAATATACAAATATCAAACAGATGATGATTGACATATGTCACTATATTTCGAAACATTCTGAAAGAGTTTTAAAATTTCAAGTTTCCTTGTCTAGTTTTAAAGGAGAAATTAAATGTGTTGTTACATAGCACTGTAGAAACAATTCTACAATTTTTTTCCATCAGTTCATTAAGAAATAACAACGTAATTATAATTCTCTAACTAAATATTACACATGTCCTGATAATAAAAAGAGATTTTATCAGCTTTGAAAAAGTTAATACCATTAAGATTGCTCACATTAAGAAGTTTATGTGCATGAATATGAATATGTATATATTTATATGTATGTATAAATCCATAGAAATATGAATATGTACATAACTTACTTATATCAGAATGTGTACGAATTTTGCATAGCTATGCCAAGAATAACATTTTCTCGTGAACTTAATATTGTAGTAGTTTCGATATTGTTTTCTTCGACATTTTGGTTTGATTTTTATGTACTTGATATGTATAGAGTATTTTTTTTAATATACTACCAGAAGTATTCTAGTTATTGTTAACATAGACAATAATACTCAATATTCAGCTATTATATTTTTTAGCTGAAGTAACGTTTTTGGCACTTATCTATGCAAAGAGAGGATGTTAATTTCTATTACCTATTTAAGAACTCCGGATGATATCGTGTTACGCGATCTACTGCACCGCAATGTTCAATTCTGAAGTCCAAATAGTATAAAATCTTTAAAATTCAGAAACGGGAAAAGTTTGTGGAGGCAAAGTCATAAGAGTATGGTTGACGTATGCCTGCTTTTTAGGCAAGGGGATGCAATTGTTCTTGTTTTCCAGTGGCGCCATCTATGGCCAAGAATTCGACTTCTGCCACACCATACGTCACACCCGTTTATAGGGAGGATCCATTCATACATCCTTTCATTCATCCACAGATCGTAATTTTGACCTGAATCAGAGAACGATCGATCTCCTATCCAGTACCCCCAGAGGTATTGATTTGTTATGGGAATATGGAGGACTTTTGCGACTCGACAGATTTAACGTGCATCAGTCACTTTCCTACACGGGGAGTCTTCGATCGGCGGGGTTCGAAACCACGAATTCTCGGACATGGGCCCAGCGACCTACCGACCAGGCTATCCCGGCATAATAGCATGGTAGATGATTCAATTAAACCATGTTCTCCTGTAATAAATGCTGAAGGAACAAAGCAACAAAATTTAAAAAGTTAAAAAAAAACACGACGTCAGAATTGAAAAACATTTCAAAAGAGGACTATAAAGTAGTTTTTGAAAATTTTACAGACGAATAAAGAATTATGGTGTATATTTTTGAACATATTAAATGGGTATATAACTCACATAACATTTTACGTTGTAATTGGATCAGTCCTAAAAATTAATAGCCGTACCTTTTTCATAACGTTAATAGATTGTTAGTAGGGGGATATGAAGCATCATAAAGTGATATCTCAAATGATACAAAAATTTCATACATTGATAGCTGACATGATACAGATTATGTCACATACACTCTAATCTCATTTCAATATTGTTTGTGTAACAACAACGGGAACATATTCGTAGCAATTTCGGGAGAGGGAGCAAGCAGTAGCCTGCTAAGGGCATTGATTCTTAATAAAAGAATAGTTCAATAGAAATTGCATAGCTCGTTGTGAAATACAAGAATGCAATGCGCATATCACTTAAAATTAAATCAACCTCATAGTTTTAAATATGAGTTCAAGCTAATACATAATGAAAAAAAAGTAATTATTCTAAAAGTAATTATTCACTTTGTCTTAGGAAAAAATATGTTGAACGAAATAACTTATAATAATAACTTACTTTGCAAAGAACTGGATTATTCTTTCTATGTCCATCGCAGACAGTATTTTTTCTTCTTTCTATATCTCAAAAACAGTCAAATTCTAACTTTTTCATGATTCAGTTTTACGATATTGACACTGCGTCTATTTTCATTGACTAGAAAACCTGCTTAACATATATTTCTACAGAGTCCTTATCATTACGTAGATAAACGTTTATTTCGAAATTTATTTATTTTTTATAATATTATTATTATTTTAGTTCTTTCACCATATTTCTAATTTATCATGAACTGCAAATTCTCAAGAAAAGCAATAAATGTTTCAACAAAAAAAATTTTTTGCTTCGATATAATAAAGAAAATTTATTAATTCTATATAATATTCCAGCCAAAGTGAAAATTTGGAATTGAAAATTCTTGGAAAGGGAGCTAAATATCTGGGAAAATTGAGGAATGATTCAGAGGAAGAATTCTTATAGTCGAAGCAATTAAAAAAAAGTGACATCCATGTTACAGTTACTTATTGCTATTTTTTTCTTTGTATATGTGTGTTTTATACTTAATTATTTAACAAATCACTATCTTTTTTTTACATAATTTGAATATCCTGATTCGGTTACAGTTCGATTTATCTCATTTTATTTTATTCAATATTTTTTACTTATTTACAAAATATTGTAAATAAAATAAAAATGCGTTGTATCTTACTGATACTTAGATTTATAAACCATGATTTGGGGACATCGGAAAAAGTTTACGATTTGAAGACATCCATATATTTGTGGAAAATATTAATTTATGTGTGCAGCAACGATTTATTTATTTATTTAAGTTGATAACTAATACTATGTGCAACACCATCTCTATGAAACTTGATTTCATTACCAAGCAGTTTTGAAATGTCATGCAGCATTCTGCCTCTGAACGCATGTAAAATGAATGAGTGCACAATTACTATTTTCTTTCTTTCTTTTTTTTTCTTCACCCATTGGCAAAATGGATCCTGGTTTGGATTTCATGGCGTCCGCACTTTTCAACTACAATAATCAAGAGTAATAGTAAGCAGTGCGCATGCGTTGCTATGGCGACAGCTGCTGTTTGATAATTTTTTTAGAATTCTTTTTTTTTTCACTTTTATTTTTGTTATGCATTAAGTTGGTGAGTTTATTTTTGAGATATGGGACCAGAGAGATCCCATAAATACTTCTTGAGTTGTGAATAAAAGAGAATTTCATCCTTTGAACGATATTTTTGTTTTTATTCTTTTAATTAAGAATCAGAAATTCTAACCTACAGTTCAAACTGGATCGTTTTCAATACTAATTCAGGTGAATATCGCAAATAAAGAGGGTCCAAACTGATTGACACGGTCCCAAAACTTAGAATTAAAGCAAAAAAAAAAAAAGAAAAAAACGATGCCAAGGCCTAAACTTACCGAGGCTGGAAAAGCCAAAGAACTTAGACGGGAATACCTTAAGCGTTGCACACTGTACAACGGACAAACGGCAAAACGGACTGGGTGTTGATCACCAGTTAGGGATAAAAGGTTCCATTGTCAACGTACCCAATAACTTGCACACAAGACCGTTGACTGTTTTCCACGCAATAAAAATTATTCATTCATTAATCATGTAAAATTGAAAAAAAAGCCTAGCTTTCAAATTATATTTCATGTATGAACTTGTGAACCCGAAACGGGTGTATGATGCAGCTTACAGTCTCCATCAAGCACCATTGTATCAATCCGAAAATGTTAATATTGATCTCGATTGGCTGTTCAATATCTATTCAGTCATCATAAGAATTTACACAGAATGTGTCTGAGCTGCATTTAAATATGTCTGTGAAATTGTGTACCGAGCAATTCATGATTAACAGGTAAATATGTCCAAGATGAAAACACAATAAAGTTTCTTTTCCAAAAAAAGTTAGACAAGAGCCATTTTTCCAATGGGTAACCTGTGATCACCTTGCGGCTGTGGGGACGGAGTTATCGACCATGCCAACCTTCATCTATCAAAAGGTACCTCTTGATTGAATCAAGTCAGCATGTCTTATATAACAGTGAATTGATGTTTAATATTCGTAGTGGTTGTTACGCCACAATACTTCCCCACCAGAATTTTATCAGGGATATAAATTCGATGAACGGATACCACTAGTTGCTGTACTTGTGAAAGACCGGGAGAACTGTTTGTTGAGTGCTGAATGTGAGAGGTGTATTAACATCACGTCGTAGAGTTCGTTGTTGCTTCTGTATTGCGCTCTGCAGTCACAAGTAGAAAGTCCGCTGTTCAATGTGGATCATCCATCGAAGTAGGCGTTACCGTCAAGTGATTTGAACATGCAGTAACGTCCGGGTCACCAATGTGGGGGCGGAGTTATCGACCATGCCAACCTTCATCTATCAAAAGGTACCTCGTGATTGAATCAAGTTACGTCTTATATACCAGTGAATTGATGTTTAATATTCGATGTGGTAGTTACGCCACACGGCAATTACAATTTTCTTCCCTTCGCAGTGAATCGTATTTTAATTTCTTTCTCTCTTTTTTTTTTTTTTTTTTTTTTGTTGTTGTTGTTGCTGAAATACTTTTATTTGAGTATTGGCGATTGAAATGACGTAAAGCAGAACTCTCTACCTATGGCAACATTTCGTATGCTATCACCATTAGCGTGTGGAGAGTCATAGAAGAAGGAAGTATGTTAGTTTCTGAGTTGACTTCAATATAGAATAAAATCTCACAAGTTTTGAAACTCTATGGAACTGAAAACTACATTAAACATAGTTCTAAAAGAAAAACATAGTTTTAAAAGAAAGCACCATGGATATTTTTAAAAAATATTAATTAAAAACGAAAAATATTAAGAAAAGAAAAAGCATCGTACTACGGAAAAGAGGAAGAGAAGGGCCAAATGCATGCAACCGGTCTTCTCCCCAGATGGCGTATTCGAGAGTTGCGATCGCCTTTTAAAGAGTTTGAAAGTTTTTAAGGATAATTAATGAAATTCGAGACCTGGTCCTCAGGAGTTGGAGAACGTTTGGTCACAATAACTCATAAGTTTACACCATTCCATTTGTTTCACAGTTGCATTAAGGAGTATTTACACTGCATGCGATTGTCCAAGACAATTACTTACTACGTACTTAACTGCTGCGCGTGTTGTATAGACGGGCGATCGCATATGCGAAGAATCGAATTAGCACCTCATAATACTTGAATGACTGGGAGATTAACATATCCCTTCATTATCGTTGCTTTATTATCGCATGTTCGCTTTAGCAGCGCCAGCGTGTGACGGCAGATCGAGTTTAGCCTTGGCTTTACGTATGTGACCACCAGGTTTTGTTACGTAACAGTTTGAAATTTAGAATTGTGAAATTGGCAATATAACATTGAGTGGCAGAAATAAAATTTGTTTACAATTTTCGACAGGCCGGGAAACAGTTTCATTCTTCGATTCTGCTTTCTGTTAGTTAGATATTCTTGTTGGAGTAAAAAGATATAAATTGTTCTGTAAGAAGAAATATTCAGCTTTCAAAATGCTGCCGTGTAAATATATAATTGTAAGTCTTCCTTTTTAATAATAATTGTTTTCGTTATTCAAAACTGGTACTTCTCTTCGAGTATAAGTACAGATACTTATTTTTATGTAACAAATTAAATTTAGTTATAAAATTATGTTTTGTCTTTTCAATTTGTTCTAGATTACAGACGAAGATGACGGATATCCTTTAGACTCTTTTTGTGTTCCTCGTCATTATATTTCAGATTTAGATCGTGTGCTTGTTCCTTGTGGTTTGATTTTAGATAGGTAAAATATGTTTTTCTTTTTTTTAAAAAAGCAAAAAACATTCTGAAATGGAAGTAATTAAAGCGATTCAATTTTATTTGGAAGATCGGGGATATTATCATAACTACGGCAAGTTGGCGAAGAGTCGCCGAGGAAGGAAGATAACGTTTCTGGCGGAGGGAACCAGTTTTCCTCGAATCATGACGTTTACGCCTCTTCCTTCTCATTGGCTCAAATTCCCTGACTACTCCTTAGAACTTATCGGTTAAGATATATCAGTTATTAAGTAACCGGTTCCGATTTCTTGTTCTTAAATAACGTATACAAAATATTAGTTCTTGAATAACGTACGGTGTCAGTTCCTAAAGATAAAACACACGTTTTGCAAACGTCTTATCTAAAGTTATTAATCCTTTTATTCTTTTTTTT